TCAAGGGATGTAATTTGTCATTCCCAAATTGCCGGAAACAGAAAACACTTTCTTGTCTTAGTATCAAACAGTTCTTGAAGGAGTTTATTTGTAGACGTTCTTATCTTTGTCTTTCTTCTCTGTGGTTGCAGCCTGAGTTGTGGATGTACTATGGCATTCGTCCGGGTGACGGTGGCGACCAGAACGATTTCTATTATCAAGGCAAGAAGGGAGAGAATAAAGGCAAAGAAAAGCCTGTAAACAATTCGAAAGTAAATAAAAGACTTTATTTTCAATAGAACAGTGTAATAGAAAACCTGCTATGTGTTTTTCATGTCTCAAACGTGGTGTCACATTATTGCTGTAGATAGTTAATTGAATGCTCAATAAAACTCCATAGGATGCCCTAAAATAACTGCTTCATACATTTCCTCGTAAATTTTATAGGTTACTGTTGGAATGCACGCTTTCTTCTCAGAAGTTCGCCCTCCAAAAGACGTTTAACACGCTGTGTGTGTTGTTTACAGCAAGGATGCGATATCTAGGCCTTTCAGCCCGTGTCATTCGATTTCCTGAAAACCTTAATTAGTTACTACATGATTTGTAAGGTACATTGGGTCAAATACAGATCACCCCTGAAGAGGTCCCGGAAACCCCGTTTAGCCGTTAGGCCATATTTAAGACCCGTGTATATTTAGGGCGCCCGGCAAAAGCCAGGTTGGGGCTTCGAAATAACTAAAAATTGTATCCTCAACAAAGGGGACGACGAATAAACACATTTGAAAAGTACATACAATCTTAACGTCGCCAGTATTTTTGTTTTGTAAATTGTAAACAATATTTTACCTTAAACAATGCTTCTGACCTAATAACTTATTTACACATATGTGGCATATTTAAGGCACATAATTATTCACCGAAAAATAATCAAATGTATCATTAAATATACGTATATGTGATATGTATATATTTTGTTTCATTCCTGCTCCCATTCCAGTTATTCAGTTAGACTTCCGTACCAGTATGGGATGTAATTTTTCGTTATTTTAAGACTCCACTCCAGCTTTAGATGGGGCCGTAATATAACCTAACAGTTGAGCGGGGTTTCTGGGACTAGTGCCCGGGTGTTCCTCATCCGAATAGTGACGCTTTGTGTCACCAGGTGTTGGTCGCTTGTTGTACGGTCTAGGTCGGATTAAACGACAACAACAAATATGTTCCCAGATTATTATTATTTTGTTTTAAGATTATTTTATTGTTGCTAGCTTTTGTTTTCGTGTTGGTAGAAGACAAATCCTGTTGTTTTGTCCCTTATTAGGAAAAAAAAAACTTTGGTCGATTTGTCCTTTTGTTGTCGATCTTTCCTTCATATGGGCTTCCTAGTTGGTTTTTAGTGTTTTTGAGTCATATTTGCTTATAACGTCTATGTAAACTAAACTCAGTAGCTAAGGCAGCGAAACCGTAGACTATCGTCTTTATGTGGAAACTGCATTAGTAAAGCGCTGTCGGAAGCAAACATAACTTCGAAACTTAACATTCAGCCAAGCGTTTCCTCTGTTTTGCCAGGAATTCTGGTCTGGTTGATGGCTGGTCTAGCATTAAAGCTTCGACAGTTGAACATACAGAGCACTGCTTATGTGAACCGGCAGGATGCTTTGTTCCAAGCGTTTTTGTGTTGTTTTTCTTTTGGAGTTAACATCACAGACCGGGAGAGGGATAGTGTTCCAAGCGTATTTGTGTTGTTTTTCCTTTGGAGTTAACATCACAGACCGGGAGAGGGATAGTGTTCCAAGCGTATTTGTGTTGTTTTTCCTTTGGAGTTAACATCACAGACCGGGAGAGGGATAGTGTTCCAAGCGTATTTGTGTTGTTTTTCCTTTGGAGTTAACATCACAGACCGGGAGAGGGATAGTGCTGCATGGGCACCACGTAGTCTCTACAATACTGCCCAGACTAGGTCACACGGACAGGGGAAACCTAATCTCCAGTCTTAATTGCTAATCGCCATGGGCAGTAATTCCTATTTCCCCTGTAGCGCAATAAAACGCTGTCCTGTGGAAAGACGGAAAGAAAGACATTAGCAAGCAGCATGAAGCTAATTGCAGACGTCAAGATCAAATGTCAGTTAACAGTTGTATTAATGTACTGAGAGGCAATGTAACCAACTGACTAGCATAGTTGCCTCCCCGCTTTACAATATTAATATCATGTGAATATACATCGATTTTCTTATTATTATGTGCTTAAAAACAAAAAATCTTTCCAAGCTTTTCTCTCAAACTGTCTTAATTAAGCTCTCATGTCGCACAAAAGATGACAATACTAACAATTTCGAACAAAGAAGACACAAACAATAGACTGCATAATTTATTGCCTGGCATATTTCGCTGTATCTCGTCAGGTGCATACTACAGTAATAAGTATTAAAATGAAGCAAATAGCTGAATCCTAGAAACTGAAACACAAATTCGAGTACATTCTACACTGTCTGTTTCACCAAGGTAACCTTAAGGAAACGACCATTTCTTTCTGCCTACAGAGATCTGGTTTCAACCGGCTGATCGCGGAAGCTTTCGCGTATCGGAGTAATCTACGGTTGGCGAATTGTAAATAATTCGAAATGCATCATCACTGTTAATGATGTGCCCGGAATTTAGAATATGGCACGCAATTGCTGATGATGGATTTTGTCGACCAGTCACCTGATTCAAAATCTGACCACTCACCTGACAAATGATTATAATGTATATAAAATTGCAACAACAACATCATTATCATTAATAACAACAATAACAGTAGCACACTCCGAAAGTAAATGCACACTTTATATCCCAACTGCAAACTTGAGGATTGAACAGGATATGTTTATTGTTAAAATTACTTCAACTCGCTATTCACATCACCGGGGAATTGTCAAAGCTTTGAATTCATTGCTTTCTTATACACGCACGCACATTCGAATGTGTAGCTGTATTTCTGACTCATTCTGTGTATTGTTATTGTGTTGACAAATATTTTTATTGTAATTTATATTATTGATGTTCATTGCTACTTTATGCATGATTGTTAAACTGAAAGGCTACTTATAAACAAATAAAATAGTTTTGAAATTCACAGATATTATTTTATTGAAATGATTTTATAATGCTTATTGACTTCTCCATTAAAAAGAATATATATGTGTGCCTATATATGTATATATATATATATATATATATATATATATATATATATATATATATATATATATATATATATATATATATATATATATATATATATATATATATATATATATATATATATAGCCACGGCGGACTGCAAGAAGTTATGGCGGAGGGCGTGGTGCCAGGAGGGAGGGGCAGGGGCCGACCGACGCGAGGATGGGCACGGGATGTGAGTGACTCCTTGGGAGTGAGGGTGAATGGGGCGGGAGAACTGGCGAGAGACCGAGTTTCTTTCAGGTAGACTGTAAAGAGAGCGACGTTCTACAAAGGACCTGCTACATGATGATGATGATATATGTATGTGTGTATATATATATATATATATATATATATATATATATATATATATATATATATATATATATATATACATGCACACACACACACATTATCGACATATCTGTGCCATCATTAAATCGGCATTGATCAAGTAATATCTTTTATTATAACTTATACGATTGAACGAGATATCAGAGATCTGCTTCTGCTGGACTGACATCCGGTATGCGGATCATAGGGCGATTGTGGTGTCAAAACTGTTAGTAGCAGACAAATCAAATCAACATCCAAAAAACAAAAACAAAACAGTTTGATAATCATGTTTAGAAAGAAAATATCGTCTAACGTAATACTTTTGGCGCATACAGTCAAAACCACTTAATATAATTCAAAAGGAAGAAAGACTGCATTGTTGGCTTGCCATCTAATAGGTGGATCATCGGGTCACTGCAGTGTTAAACAGACGTTACGTGACAGACTTGGAAAACGGCGGTTGAAATGTTATGTTGTGGTTTACAGCTAGGCATCCTTTTCAGCACCTTTAGGTCCAACACATCCGACTTCAGCAAACTTGTTTGCTTTTTTGAATAAGCCACGTTCAACAGCTACTTAGGAAGCTAGCCTCGCCTAGGTAGTTTTGGTTATATTTATGGCTCCGGTTTGTGCTGTTCTTTCGTTTGGTGTTTCTTTGTGTTGATGGGTCTAGCCTCCAATTGTCTGTCAGGGCCAGGATCTTCCATTTCATAATGTTGCTGGTTGTCAGGCATTCGTCTTAGTGCTGACTGGTCGGTCAGGGTCTCCCTTTGCCATCAGTCGACAGGGTTTCAGCAAAACCTTAATTGGTCGCCTTTAGGACATGCTTGTTGGAGGGGGGGGGGGGGAGCATCGGTGGGTCTGCCCCCCCCCCACCCCTAAGATGCATGAGACCTAGGAACCCACACTGGAGCTCAGTGATGACCAAAAAATCAGTTTCTTGAGGAACAGCCACACCCACTTCCACCCGACCCCACCCAATTTCCTTCCCAAGAATCAAATAAAGATATAAAGACCTTAAAGTTATTTGAGAGATTAGGTGTAGAAATCAAGATTTTTTGACAGCTGTTAAACTAAATGACAAAACAGCAAAGACACACACACACACACACACACACACACACATATACACGCACACAAATAATTATTGCATGAATGACTTGGCCACCTGCAATGGGTGAGACAGGAACACAGACCTGAACAGTGATGCTGGTGATCATGTGAAATGGCGACCTATCGCCGATTACTTTTAAACACACCACATATGATAATGATGATGAAGTCAGAATAATGATTATGATGATGATAGAAGAGTAGAAATTAAAAGTATGTCCACATGACATCTACATTTTAATATAATTTAGCTTATGGTTAACAGCCTAATTTTTTTAATGTTTAATTTAATATGAAACCATAGGTGAATGTGCAACATACAATCCATATAACGTTTTGTACAATTTATTTCCCAACAGAAGGACAAAGAGAAGAAAGAAGCTGAAAAGCGAACTCAGAGAATAAGAGAAAATGATTGTATGCATCTGTACAGAGTGGCCAGAGAAATGGGTAAAAAAAATATTGTTTTCATATTGAACCAAACTTTTTAAATTGTGGAAGTGAGCTAAATAAAGCAAGGATTTTGTAAGTATAGCAGTTTATTAACATAAAAACAACTGCAGGCATTGTACATGATCCGAATATTTAAAAAAAATTAGCTTATTAAAAGCAACATGTATCGGGAACATAATATGTTGGCAAACACTATCTACTATAAATTGCAAGAAATATGAACTACAAAATACTTCACAGCCAAGAGGTTTCGAGACGGGCGTCAATAAATTTTGAAACTGAGTGCATTTGTCATCATCATCATCATCATGAACCACTTCTGCCGTTAAGCGTCGTGGGGAGGAATAATTTGCGATCCAGTGCACGTTGGCTGCCACTGGCTATTGTCATGCCGTGAAGGCGTAGTGTCTTTAATGTTGTCGATCCATATTTTCCGCGGCCGTCCTCTTGCTCTTGTAGTTGATCTTCTGAGATGTAGTGCTTGTGATGGTATTTGATCTTGCTGCATTCTAACGAGATGGCCAAACCACTTGATCTGCTGTTTCTCGATGAATCTAGTACAAGGTGTTGTTCCCACAATTTGCCTGATAGTTTCATTATTCACTCGATCTCGGATGGTTAGGTTGGCTGCTTTTCTCATTCACCTCATCTCGCAGGTGGTAATTTTGCGTATATGGGCTTTAGATAGTGTCCATGTTTGGCACTGGTAGCTTAATGTTGGAAAAAATATGCTATTAATAATTTGTCTCTTTGCACTCATAGTTATGCTTGGATGTCTTAATAATGGTGACAATTGGTATATAAGTGCACTTGCTTTCTGACATCTGAATTCTATTTCTCTGTCAATTCTACCATCTTCTGTGATCATACTTTCTAGATATTTAAACTCCCTAACTTGATTAAGGGCAGAACCATTCAGCTGTATGTGTAGTGGGGCAGAATGTCTACTAACTTGCATTGTTTCGGTTTTGTTTACATTGATCTTCATGTTTTATTTACTACATGCTGAGTTTAACCTGTTAATGTGGTCTTGCAGTCTATGTTCTTCAGGGTAGAACAAGCACTGGTCGTTAGCAAACAGTAGTTCGTTTAATGTGGGTGAATCGATTACTTCTCCTGATGTATGTACTTCCTCGTGATTATAAAGGTCTATGTTGTCTGTATCATAACTTGCTTCTTTAGATATTCTGTCTATATAGATGTTAAATAAAAGTGGGGAGAGCACACATCCCTGTCTCACACCTGTGAGAGTGCATTTGTATTTGCAATAATGTTGTGCGGAAGGCTTCGTGGTGTTATCTTTTTCATATATACTCAACGGGGCGAGGGGGTTTTGTCATATACTCAAGGGGGCAAGGGGGTCTTATATACTCAAGAGGAGGCGGGCGAGAGGCAGTGGGGTCTTGTCATATACTCAAGGTGGGTGAGGGGGGTCTTGTCATATACTGAAGGTGGGTGAGGGGGGTCTTGTCATATTGTCATGGGGAGGGGGGCGAGGGAGGAACTTGTCATATACTCATAGGAGCGGGGGGGGGGGGGGTCGTCTTATGCTCAAGGGGGCGCGACCTGAAAAAAAAAGTAGAAAATAACATAAACATAAAAACTTTTGAAACATAAACATTTCTTATGTTTGAAAAAGGCTGCCCGACCAAAACGTTACGTTGTGTTGTTTTGTTCCCGTTTTTTTTTGCTTCCCCATTTTGTTGAGCTTTTTAGTCTAATTTCTCTGGAATGCCTTCACAGCCAGTGCGTCTTCAATGTCCTGAATCCACATTCGCGGAGGTCGGCCTCTGCCTTGTTTTCCGGAAACTGCGCCTTTCTTCGCCGTTCTCGCCAGACGAAAATGGTGCTTCACATGTCCACAATACCTCAGCTTTCAGGAGAGGATTCTATTTAGGGGCAAGTTGTACAGGTCAAGCAGGATGTCGACCTTACCCCTCATGATGGAAGGCGTGATGCTGACCACATCACCCATCTTGCACCGATTGTCTATACAAAATATAACCCTATATGCCCTAAATGCCCTATATGTCCTATACGCCTAAAGGCGTGGAAAAGGGACCTTTACTATATTAACCATGCAACAAAACAAAACAAAAAAACAAAAAACCTGAATAACAACACCCCTTTACCACTTCTTCCCCTGAACTTGAGATACCTCTGCTTTGAGGTGTGAAGTATTAGGTATTTACACAAACTAGGTCATGGCATATAGACATATACGGTTGTATGGCCAGTTCATTTTCTCATCTGTAGTTCGGACGACGAGACGGCGAGTGTTGTAAAAGTGTTCTGTCAGGGACTTGTCCTTACTGGCAAAAAAAAACCAGATCACGCTATGGGCAAACAATGGGAGTCTCCTTAGAAAGCCAAGATGGACACGGATGAAAGGCACCCCTATGACATAAAGAAGCATTATTATTAAAAACAATAGATAAATATGAAATATTCAACAAAGCTACCCTATAGGAATTCAAGAAGCACCGTCAACGCGTAGGCTGACCATGTAAAGATCGCAGTTAGAACCGATACACTACAAAGACATGTGTAATAGTCGTCCCCTTGAGAGGTGCAACTCGTTGTTATTTTGAAGCCCCACCTCGCCTTTTGCCGGGGCCCTAATTATAGCCTTTTATTCCTTAAGGCTGGCTGCTATAATGTGTATTGTTTATATTCCAGAACGCCCACATGACGTAATCACCAGGACACTGGCCAAGAAAACTTTTAAGCAAAGGATGAAGAGAAAAGAAAAATACAATGAACTTTTTGAGGAGGTATGACAATTTTGATATTATACATTAATGTAACGCTTCTAAAGGATAATTTCACCATCTGGGTTCCATTGCTCATTTTGGTGGGAAGGGGGTGTCGGGGGGAGGGGGGAGGGGGTGTCGGGGGTGGGGGGGGGGGAATAGACCCACTATTTCCCTAAAAAGCATGTAGAAAAAGCAGTCACGAGGCGTGAAAATTTCGCATGTGTAAGCATTGACTGGTAACTATTAAACTAGAGAGGGTAACACTTGACCTTCTCCTCCTCATTGCTTCGCTTTTGAGAGAATGCGTGTGCAACTAGCATCGAAACACTGGTAACTGGTATCTTTCACATGTTACAGTTTTTTTTTTTTTTTTTTTAATGAATGGCGTAAGTATGCAGTGATCTTTTCGCCACGGTAATACTCTTCAACAAATGTTGTGTGCTCGCCGAGACGTTAATCAGGTAGTGTATTTGTAATAAATAGTAAACAGTAATAATAAAGAGTAGCAGGATGTTATTTTCTTTTGCAATGGAAAGTGTAAGCTGTGGTAACGGTAGTTACATGCACGACACAACGTACCAACCCGCTCTTTTAATGGCGAAAGAAAGAGAGGAAGAATACAGAACTTGTTTGTTGTTGTTTGTTTTAGTATCCAGAAGCCATAAGTTGTTAACCATTAGGCTCGGTGTCATGGATATCGCAACCTTTCGGCTTTGATTCCATTGTAAATACTGTAAATGTGGGAGAAAATGTGGCTTCTCTGCCTACCCCCGGGAGTGAACCCTGACCACAAGGAGTTCGTCACCCGGTAACCGCGCAATCCGGTTTAGCCAACTACGCTAGAGAGCCGGGCGAATTCCCCAGGCCCGGATTTATCCTGTATGGCTTGGTATGTCTCCGTAGGGCGGCTGGTCGCCTGCTAGAGTGTTGCACAAATCACCAACTCCTTAGCTTCTGCATCGATGACTACAGATCTTTAAAAAGACGTGCATTCCCGAACTGAAAGACTGAGTTCGAAAGCAAACCTGCAACCTTTAGAGTATGGAGCAAACGGCTTAACCACTTCGCCATGAGTTATACCCCACCCCAACAGTTTGTGAAGCACACACACGCATACACACGCGCGCAACACACACACACACACACACACACACACACACACACACACACACACACACACACACACACACACACACACACACACACACTATAAACTAAAAGACTTTTGTGAAAGTATTTGACCCTTTCTTCGGAGGAAGTCAGCTAAAGACTTAACATTGATTTAGACGATTCTCGTTAAAATGCCTTTTAAAAACAATGTAAACCACTGAACGTAAAATCACCCTGTAAAACCACACACCAGTTAGTAAACACTGGGGGTTATTTGCGAAGTCATGTAAAAAGATATGCGAGATATTTGTTGTTGTTGCGTTTTTCATACTGAGATAACTAGTTTTATAAAATAATCTAAAGGTGGCATGAAAGGAAATCGGTGTCTTTGTCTGATTAGGCGATACATGTACATTTTAACTCTCTCAATGCCAGACGGTTCTATTTTAATCCATTCTATCTCAAACTAGTAGTCGCTGTAGTTTAACCAGTAGATGCTCGCCTGTTAATCTGAAGGTCGTGTGTTCGGGTACTGACTGTACCGGATTTTTTCAAAAATGATCTTGACTCCGCGGTCGACCCAGCCTTGAATGGGTACCAGGTGGAGTCATGGGAAGTAAAGGCGGCCGGCGTGATGCTGACCCACCAAGTGCCGATTGATTTATAAAATATAGGTCTAGCCCTGTGTGCCTAATACCCCTAAAGGCGTTGAATGGGTCCTTTACTTACTATAGGAAACTAGTGTTACTTTCAACCAATAATGAGTTCTCTTATGTAGGGTCCATTTCCAATTCAAATTGTGCTGAGGTTTTAAGGGGGTAGGGGAAAACTACTATAAACTGCTACGAACAGCTTTCGAAGGCTGTGACCAGCGTTGGTTTATATTATTATTTTATCTGAGGAGAAATGAGGCGTACACAGAAAAACTCTTTGCCGTCTAGGTAGGCGCAGGAGGGCTAATCTCCGCCTCATCATACTAAAGCACTTTAGGCTTGCGAGAAAAGTAACGCAAACGGGCACTAAAACAACTGGGCGAAGCGGCCGAAAGTGCTTCAAGCTGGCTGTGAGCGCAGCGAAACGTCGTGGGGGATAGACCTCGGTAGACTGGGCTGAACCAGTGGAAAAGGACTTTTCATCCCTAAAATTCAGTGTCCGATTAGGTGTACCAGTGTCTCTCTACCGAGTGCCAAAGTCTGTCCGACTGACCAGTGGTAAGCTTGAAACTATGGTCATGAATGTATAATTTGCTACTGTAGCGACAATATATAATACCAAACCTCACAATACTAGTCGCAAAACCACCTTTTCGCCTTGTCCGAACGTCCGTTAAGTACAGCAGGAGAGTCCGAGGTCTGGGAGTCATGACCCAGGTCGGATACCCTCTGAAATTGTCTAGGAGGATAATGGGCCGAAACGAGGGCTATACGAAGAATAACACATACATAATTTTTTTGTGTCTCTAAATAGGATCTGGAGGAAGATCTCAAGAAAGGACTTGGAAATGACTGGAACCTGCTGATAGAATCTCTTCTAAATGACCAAAACAGTGGACAGTCTGAAGGTCCTAGCAAGTCACTCAAGGTGAGTGACCGCAAATGTAACATGAACAAGCTTAATTCATTTTATGTTTCAGCAGTATTTGTATTTCATAGGATCGTGACCACACTCAACCAAGATCACATAAATTCACACTCTAAAGATGACCTTCAGTGGATCAGCAATCGCTTTCTGTGACTTGCCTTGATTTGGTCAAGGACGTCTAAATCAGGGAACCCCTTTTGTTGCTGCCGCACCCCCCCCCCCCCCTCTATCTCATTTACCATTTTTTTCCGAAAAATATTTTACGGTGATTGTCTTAGACCCTCCCCCCTACTCCCCCCCCCCCACCCCCCCCCCAACTTGAAAAAAAAGTATTAATGATTTAGTGGCTTGTCATTAAGATAAGGGCCCCAACACAAAATAAACACTTCGATGCTCAGCTCCCCTACACATGTTCTTGGACAGCGGCTCTCAACCTGTGGGTCGCGACCCCTTTGGGGGTTAAACGATCATTTCGCATGGGTCACCAAAGACCATAAGAAAACACATATTCACTGAAGTTACAATAGCAACGAAAATGGTTTTATGTCTGGGGGGTCACCGCAGCACGAGGAACTGTATTAAAGTGTTGGAAAGGTTGAGGGCCACTGTTAAAGGGGAAGTGCTCAAGAAGCTTTTATATCAATTATAAAAATCCGCTCTATGCGGATTTAAACTCAAGCCTTTGGAGCCGGGATACAAGTGTTTAGCCACAACTCTGTTGCGGCTCCCCTCTTTAAGTTCTTTCTAAGTTCGAATCCAGCTAAAAGGTGACGAGGAAAAAAAACTAAATAGGTGATATCATAACCACTGCCATGTTCCGTGACTAAGTGGATCGTATACTGCTCGCTGAATACGACTTTTCACACCATTTGTGAATGAACATATGACGAGGCCCTTATTTGTAACATCTCGATAGGGATTATGGTCAACATCAAATTTACCTGATTGCGGTTCATTATTCTGCTGTCACTGGTAGTAAAGGTTTTTTGACTGACTGAACTGTTCGTTACTCTGCAGAATGATGATTTGGTAGCTTTTGTGAAGAAGGTTACTCCATTAAGCAACCAGGAATTGAAGGATCTCAAGAAGGAGTATAAAAAAGGTAAATTTTATCCAAAAGTCTTGTTAAATTAACTGTAAAGGCAATACTTCGAACAGCGATTGCAAAGGACACAATCTATTGTTTACGCCAGTTGACAGGATGCAATCTATTGTTTGTTTACGGCCACTGTAAGGGACACAACCCATTGTTTGTGAAGTACACATAATAGTGTTTTGTAATATTTAATATAGCTTCGTGATTAGGGGTTGTAGTTGCCCTAACTTTAACCCTAACCCTAGCCCTAATCTTAAATATTAGAAAATAGCATAGAAACATGCACATACAATGTATTATGTCCCATAGGGTCGTCATTTAAAGCACTACTAACTCATAACAGATGTTTCGGGGCCCTATTGTGTGGAAAACAAGAATAGACCCACTCCCTCCCCAAAAGCATGTCGTAAGAGTCGACTAATTGGGGAGCTTCCTTTGAGTCGGAGTGCATCTGCCGGAGAGGCAAGGAACCAACACTCTGTATTCAGTAGAATGAGATCTGTAAAACTGATGCACACGCAACACTTAGGTTCTGGAGCAGGACTGGTGTTCAGTAGTGGACGAGCAACCAGAACCTTCTGCCAGAGTTTACAGCTGGTGAACGCGAAGAAGAAGATAACAGATTGTGTCCCTTACGATTAACCATTGTCGTCCCCATGGGGTCGCAATGTTTCGTTATTTTGAAGCCCCAGCCCGGCTTTTGCCATGGGCCGTAATATAACCTAACGGTTAAACGCGGTTTCCAGGACCTCTTGCCACATCCGCATGGTGGCACTTTGTGTCACCAGGTGTTTATCACACTGTGTGATGTCCTGGTGGGTAAATTCACTTACTTATGTCTCTTAGGGTCGCCATTTGAAGTTGTGTCCGCAATCGACTTTATTGCACACTGGTATTTCCATAGTGTTAGTAAAGTAAAATAAAGATGCCTTAAGCGCATCAGGCATATGGTAAGAGCACCCATATTTTTACAGACCAGTCCTCTCTAGGTGGGTAATGTGGTCAGCATTACGCCAGCCGTCTGTACTTTCCCAGGACATGTATCCTGGTACCCATTCAAGACAGAGTTAACCTGCGACGCCCCATACCGTGATAAAAATCTACGCAACCAGCAGTGGGTTTCCATCTCTGTATGTTGGAATTATGAGTCGGACTCGCAATGCCTAAGCCACAGACGCCGCTATAGTGTTAGTAGGGCTTTAAAATTTTAAAAAATTGTGTCCCATATTGGGACGGATGAAACTAAAATATATTCTTTGAAGGCAGGCATGGATTACACTCATAATCCATCCCAACATTGTTCTTATATTAAAGCTCCCATTCAGCTGGACTTTAGGCTACTTCATAACTGCCGTCGGTGGGCCCTAAAATAAACTTACGGTTCATTGGGAGTTTCCAGAGATGCACCCAGAGGATTTTTATCAAAAAGAAGATGGAGAGATATTGTCCAGAAAAATCTGCAAACACTTGGTGTCACCAGCTGGAAAGAGAAGGCCAACCAGAGAGATGAATGGAGGCAGGTGATATCTGCAGCAATGAACTTCAAGAGCTCAGAATGCTGAAGAAGACAAAGATTACACATTTTTGTTGCAAAAATGCTCTCAAGAAATCTTGGGAGCTAAAATCATTCTCTACTTTGTGAGACCAGGTGTTAATCTCTCGTTTTATTATCCTAGTGTGGTTAAATGTCACTTGTCACTCTGAGGCAGGGATAATAAGTTCATGATGATAGCGGATGTGACAAGCAAAATCCACTCCTGTTAAGAGAAGTCTTCCACAGTTAGACCATGGGAAGTTTGAACAACTCTTTCCTTCTCATGTATTTAACAAGATGATTCTTAGACGCTAATGCCTTTACCTGTCTGCGGTCATTTTCTTTTTTTTCCTTATTCCCTTACTGATTTTTACAGTCCAGTGCATTCGGTTCCCATAAATCTGCCTCAGTACCTGTTTCATTCATGTCCCGTTTGCACACATTTTTATATTGTTTACAGTAAAGGGTGATCACCACATCTTTTACCCATCTGTATGCCACCATAGATTATGTCCTTAGGGCCTATACCATCATCAGCCTCCAAATATGTCCTAGCCATCTGAGTTACTGGGGACTGGACATTGAGAAAACTGTTATGATACCTGCTCTTTCCAATGCTTTCATGTCTGTGATCTTGTCTCATCATTTAATGCTAAGTATTCTTCATAGGTATTGCATGGGGAAGCTGTTTAGCCACATCCCCTGGTACAAATGATTCAATACAATTAAGACCTTCCAAGAACACAAGCTTGATAGACAAAGGCCATCCTCTGATCTGTAATATTCAGAACTGCCTTCCCCTGTCTATGGTGCTCTCATGTGTGCCAGCTGACAAGGACTTACAACCTTGGCTTTCTATATATATAAAGTTCAGCATAAATCAGCATAAATTTAAGATTGTTTATTATTCTTCTATTTATTAATCTTTGAATCAGGCATTTCATTAACTTGCTTGCATTTATTTATGTGTAGATTTTGAGAAGACATAATAACTGATGACAGCAAACTGGTTGCTAGCTGTGCAAAATAATTCTAATTAAAAAATGTTGGTTACTGTTCCTGAAAAATATGGACTTTCATGTTCTATTGTAGAGAACTCTGACACCCTGGAAAGTGATATCTCTAAGAGGTACAGAAACCCACTGAAGAGATTTCTCTTGGCTCTTGTAAAAGATGGCAAGAAAGGGCATAAATATCAGGAAGATTCTGAGAGGGATGCTGTGGACATGTTTGTGGTGAGTTTATCTGAAAGGGTTAAAGTAATTTTACCATGGCTTATTATGGCTTAATATGTGGTCACCTATCTCTAACAGCGACAGGTTAAATTTCAAACCACGATGGTTCAAAATCCGGTATCAAAACAAACATATCCTGAAAATTTCAGCTAAATCGGTTCAGTAGTTTCCGAGTCTATAGGGAGCAAACAAACACACAAACATTGATTTTTATATATATAGACATAATTTGAACAAAGAAGACACAAACAATAGATTGCACAATTTATTACCTATCTTTTTTTTGTAGCTGTATCTCATCAGGTGCATACTATAGTGACAGTTGATTAAAATGAAGCAAATCCTAACATAATGTATAATAAGTGCATTAGTCAAGTTTCAACTTGCCTATGTCAATTGTCTATTCCAAAGCCTGCAGAAGAAAGATGGACATCAAGCAGCAGCAAATTCATCCAGCTGGTGGGAGACAAAAATGCCAAATATATGAAGAGAGTCTTTGACAATTACAAGATTCTCAACAAGGGCAAGCCAGCAACAAAGCATGTGCAAGAGGAATGCACCAAAAGTTATGCTGAGGTCGTCAATGCATACAGTGAGTATTTTTGTGTCCTCTAAAGCAGTGATTCCCAAAATATGCGCCGCCCCGTCCCGGAGAGCTGCGACCTCTTCACAGGGGCGCCGTTAAATATTCAAAGATGCACAAGTTTTTTAATTTTTAATCTCTTACATACGAATATTCATACTTTTACTTAGGTTAGAGCGCCCTGGACAAATTGTAATTGAAAAAAGGCCCCATGACTAAGACAAGTTTGGGAAACACTGCCCTAAAGTGATTTTAGTTTAGCTTCCAAGATTTCTTGAGAGCTTTTGTGTAACAAAAATGTGTAATAAATGTAATAATACATGTTCGAATATTCTCTCCTATTTATTGATATATCATCATCATGTTCATCATCATCATCATCATCAGGTGCCTTGCTGACTGGCGTGGTCGATCATTGCCTCTCCACAATCTGCAATCTCCTGCAGCATGTATCAGTTCGTGTGCTGACACACCTCGATGCCATGCTACAAGACTGTCAAGAATCTTCTCTCGTTTTCTTCCTCTATAATTCCTTCTACAGATCTTTCCAGTGCTCACCACATGGTTCATTTTCCCTCTTCTCATAACATGGCTGAGATGTATGTATCTACTTATCATGTTTTCTGCAGCCATAGGTACAGGTAACTTAAGACTAGGCATCAAGAGGTTTACCTATGTGGACAGGCACCACATAATACTGAATATGTTCAACAAACAGGCTCACTACATGCAGTAGAAAGATTTCAGATTTGGCCAGTTAACATTTCAATGGAAACCAAACTTTATGGAACAGTGGAAGACGAGTATTGCACCACAGACTTCATAAAGATATGTGGCCTTCTTTTCTGAAAATCACTGGCAAGAAGAATGAAAAGAAGAAGTCTTATCATTGTTCAAAAACAGTTGTCACATGTCACAAGGTTAAAATTAAATACCCGAGAAAAATGTTTATCTGCCTATATTACCAAATCATCATCAAGTGCCTTGCCAGCTGGCGTAGGCGTTCATGCATTGGCACAGATCTCGGTCTTGGGTGTTCTGGATCAATTTTACTGACGATATTCCTCTGTGCCACTGTCTTAAGCCACCCACCATCATTTATCTTGCTCTGCCTCTTCTACCAGTGACCTTTCCAGTCGTTACAATATTCTCCTGTGCTCCTTTTCTCACCACATGACCAAAGAACTTTGTCTCCTTCTCATTGTTGTATATAATGTTCTAGTTTCATTACCCATTTCCAGGAATTCAATGTGGGTTATTCTGGCAGTCCAAGATATTCTCTACATTCTTCTCAAGAACCACATCTCACTTTTCTTAATTTGTTTGCTCACATTCCAAGATTTACTACCATACTACAGAACAGTCTTTATATAATATTTCAATACTCGTTTTCTAATGTTTAATGAGAGTGATTTATTACATAAAATACTTTTCATCTTCTGAAAAGCTGCCTTTGTCAAATGAGGCATATTTATTTATGAAATAAGATATTATTAGTACTGTTAGCAGCTATAAAATGATGACTGATATTTGCATTTTATTCACACTTAATATTTTACTATTTTTGGTGCTGCATATTTATATCCAAGTTTCCTGTTTAAGTGTCTCCATGATATAATGAGCCTTTGATGGATCCATCTGAACCTCTTGACACATCAATACCAAAAATTTAAAATCATTTTCTTAGCCGCTTCGGACATCAGATTTCACCAGGGCAGTTCTTGGTGTAGCTGTTCGGGGTTCCCTAATTATAACTTCTTAGCTTTTGCTCTGTTTTCAAGCATTCATGATGCTTCTGTTTGAGTTGCAAGGTATAAAACATTCATGTAGCAACCCAAAGGTGGAACACAATTTTTTCTGATTATAATCAGTCTTTGACTTATTTTAAATATATATATATTATTTATATTAGGGTGATGTGGTCTCATCGGTCTTCTTTCTTACTTTATCTATCTGTGACATATTCAATGGGAAATGTGTTTAAGTTTAAAAGATATTATTCAGTGAAATTTATAACAAATGGGCATGTTCGTCAGAGGAGTTCAAAACATTTTTTTTACAGTCAATAGCATTGGGACAGCTCAGACAGAGCATGCAGACAATCTGTACAAGAATTTGGACCCAACAAATCCAGTGTTTGTGAAAACTGTGGTTGCAAAGTCAGAGGCAAGTTGATTATTCTATTTACAATTCCATGTGTCAACCAAGCAACAACAGTATTAACACTGTCTGTGTGTGTGTATGTGTGTATATGTTCTAGAGTTCTAGAATAGATTTGCCTCCAGTTGTAAATGGTTCGAAGCTGTCACAGGCCTCATCGCTAATTACATTTCACATAATATTTTCAGTATATATGCTGAAAAGAGGGTCTAACTAATACCCTAAGTTTAATTGCTGGGCATCGCCTGGTTTTAATCTCCCATCATCTGCTTCATTTTTGCTCCACCACAGCTATGTTTAGTCATTGTCTCTTGGTGCATCTATGGTTTATCCTGCTGTTTGGTCAGAATTAATTGCCTCTGGCCTATTCCACCACCCCAAAAATGTGGCCGGATAGTAACGCTCAGAGTGGAAAAGACCATTACTCTTCGCAGCTCCCACTTAGTAACAACCAGTTGTAGTCACCTTGTTATTTATTAATTTTTATATTTTTTAAATTTCGAATGAAAGCACTGAGTACATTAAAACTGAAAATATACAAATTCAAGAAATTGTTTCAAAAATTGTAGCTAGTGCATGGATACAGGACCTTCTGCATGTTAGATGGGATAACCACCTCACTATGAAATGATGTGATGATAATCTTAAACTGAATCACCAATATTTACCAATGTGGCATTGTAATGTACATATTGTCGGTTATATAGGCTGGCAAGTTCTAGTTGTTGATTCACCTCTTGACTTTGTCTTGTTTGAGAACGTTAACTTTATGTGCACATCCATTTAATAGATCTGATTTATTTGTCTGCAGACTACATGGGAAGAACTGGTCTAGTATAAAAAATGTGCATGTAGTATTATAATTAACAAGATTTTCTTGTTTGTGTTTCCTATCTCATCTAGAATGACATGCCTAAAATTAGAAAGGAGTACAAGAAAAAGTATGGAAGAGAACTTGCTGAAGACCTTGAAAATGAAAGTAACCACACAACAGTGGGAGTTCTGAAAGCAATTATAATGAAGGACCCTCCGAAAGTGAAGGTGCTTTTATTATACTCTCATTTTATGATTGGCATTGTTATGAAATAGAACCTGTTATAAAAGAATACTTAGGCTAACAATAATAAATAAAAAAATCAGTAAGAATATTTTTTAGATAGTTTAAGAAAACGGTGCAAAAATTTAACTATAAAAATAACAAATATATACATTTTAGTAGAAAAGTATTTGTTTTTAAGGTGTCACCCTGCTGAAGATATGTGTATTGCCTGTTTTTCTAAATGAATATGAGTGTTCATCAGTGAATGATAAAGTGGTAAAGAAACCAGAAGCAGCAGAAATGTTATTTTTGAAAACATGGACAAGGAAGAATTCAGACACTGAGTACTAAAATCTGCAAGTGTTGCAAGATCACTAATTTAAAATATATAGGTGGGAACAAATGACATTTTATTGGCCATTTTACATAAGAGATGGCGTAAACAAAGTTAGCATCATGTTGGAAAATACTAAGTAACAGACACAAATGAAGAAGGCTGCGTTGTATGTGAAGTACTTAAACAGCTGGGCAATAAAAAATAATATAATCAACATAAAATGTCCGTTGACAGAGGGGATTTGATAACTATACTTGCTGATTTCTGTTTTAGACAAAACAGCTACAAGGGAAAATAAAAGATATAAAGCTCATAATATATGGTTAGTTGCGTATCCTTTACAGGACGTTGCAAAACCAACCCCAACAGCCTTCAGTTATGTGGTTTTTCTAGGCAAATTTACGTCCAGTAGTTTGCCATTGATTTTCTGGACGGTCGCCTTTTTTGATACCACTGTCGAAACCAACGCAAGGCCCATGGCCGGCAGCTTGGATCAAACCCGGCATCCCGGCATTACGAAGTGTTCGCATCGACTTAGTCACAGAGCCGGCTCATAATATATGACAGAATAGAAATGATTAAAGTGACATTTTATAATGCTCTAAGCTGTGCTGTGTACCATACTTTTCTGTGCAAGACGACCCTGTGTAAAGGACAACCACTTTTTTTAATCACAAAATTAAGAAGTGAATATTTTAGACACAATCTTTTTATAAGATGACTTCCAGTTTTAAACTCAAAATTTGTGGGTAAATGTATTGTCTTAAACACAGAAAAGTAAGGTATATCTCTGTTTGTGCCACATTATTGTGTATTATGTATTTTTCATGCTACACTAATTTTGCTAAGTCTTTTAAAATTAACTTTTGAATATGAGTACAGTGTCATTTCTTTCTTCAACTTTCAACAGAAAAGTAAGAGCAATGAAACAAAGAAAAGTCCAAAGCCCAAAACTGATGATGAAAGTAAATCTGATGATGGCAATGAAACTGATAGATCCCAGGACTCGGAACAAAATGAAGACCAGGAAGATGACGATGAAGAAGAAAGAAGGAGGGAAGAAGCAGAAAAGAAGAAGGAAAAAGAAAGGCTGGAAGAAGAAAACAGAAAGAAAGAAGAGCAGAAACGAAAAAAAGAAGAGGAGGAGAAGAAGAAATTTGAAGAAGACAAGAAAAAGAAAGAAGAAAAGAAGAAGAAAGATGAAGAAGAAAGAAAGAGAAAGGAAGAAGAAGAAAATAAAAAGAAGGAAGAAAAGAAGAAGAAGGAAGAAGAAAAGAAGAGAAAGGAGGAAGAAAAGAAAAAGGAAGAGGAAAAACGGAAGAAAGAGGAAGAAGAAAGGAAGAAAAGGGAAGAAGAAGAAAGGAAAAAGAAAGAGCAAGAAAAGAAGAGGCGGGAAGAAGAAGACAAAAAGAGAAAAGAAGAAGAAAAAAGAAAAAGAGATGAAGAAAAAATTAAGAAGGAAGAAGTAAATAATGTGAAAAACAAAAATAAAGATGAGTATGATCCTGATGAAGACGCAACACGACTGTACAAGGCAATGCAGGGAACAGGCACTGATGAGCAATCAATAATCGACATCATTCCATATCGTTCAAATGCCCAGAGACAAGAAATTAAGAAACGTTACCAAGAGCTTTACAAAAAGGTTAGTTATTTAGAAGTTTGTCTATAAAGGGTTATACCTGCTTCACGTCTTTCATTTATAAAATGTAGACTGGTCTAGTTAGGTATTACTTAATTTATGTCATTCGATTTATTTATATAATTTGTTTACATATTTTAATATTGTTATATAATCATTTCGGTGTCAGTTAATTTTTGCGCGTGTTGTGTTGTGTTTTGTTTCTTGTTGTTGTATTGCTGATGAAGGCTGCAACGTCCTTTGTTTGTTTATTGTATTTTGTTTTGTAAATCTGGCATATACTTTATGTTTTTCTTACCCTTTTGTAATTCTTTCTTTCCTGCCCTTTTTTTAACAAGTTTTTTTTTTTTTTTGGTCATTTAGAAAAGCATTAATTTCTTTAGTTGCTGCTTTTAGGATGTTAAAGTATTTCCTGAAGAGCAGTGTTGTTACAATAATGTCAGTGCACACTGGAATGCCCAGTGCGTGTTTAGGTGTTTAGTCCTTTGATGCAGCAGCCATCCCAAGACACCTCTTCTCACCATTCCCATAAAAAGTTTTTTTATACTGGCTATTCTTGTGACCTCGAAGACAATATAGCCAGGTTTTACTTTGAAGCCATGAAGTCAGGAAAAAAAAGAGAAAGCACACACTGATTCATTGTCATTGCTAGAAATAAAATCACTTATCAACTGGGCACTACAAACCAACAGTAAATATCCACAAAACCCCATCAACAGAAAACTTTACCTCGATTTTCCATCTAAAGACAGGATACTGCAGGCTTAACTACCACATGCTGAAAATAAAGACTGTACATATACCACAGTGTGCTCAATAGATGAGACCACAAACACCGGAGCACATTCTGCAGGCCTACCCTCTATTCCTACAACTATGAAGAGAAAACCTGGCCTCAAGACCAAAGTATGTAGAGCAAGCTATGGGGAACCATGCAGGACCTGCAACTGACATGCGAAATCACAGAGTCAGCACACCTGACGATCTGACCTGAGTAAATGAAACTGTATACAGAGAAGAAAAATAAAAATATAGTCATGTCTCTATGCACGCCTCTGGCCTGAAGGTCATGAGTTCGAATCCACATTGAATCAGATTTTTTTTCTTTAAAAAATGACCCTGGCTCCAGAGTTGACCAAGCTTAAAATGGGTACCTGGTAAATTACTGTGAAGTAAAGGCAGCTGGCGTGATGTTGACAGAATCACTTGTCAAGTGCCGATTCGTCTATAAAGATATGAATATTGCATCATATCCCAGTACGCCACTTGCATCATAAAGGTCCTTTGCTTACTTTACTTTCATTTAGAGTCAGCTTCAGTTAGTGTTTTAGCTTTTCTTTTTCAGAATTATGAAGAATATGGTTCATTCCTGAAGCATCCTACATACAATTTAAAAATATCACTTACATGTTAAATATCATGTATATATATATATATATATATATATATATATATATATATATATATATATATATATATATATATATATATATATATATATATATATATATATATATATATATATAATGTATTGGTTTTATATTGATCATGTACTATTCCATTTTAATTCAACTTTTAATATTATAGAAATATTTCTTTAGAAGATTAATAGTTATTTTGCAAACATCATCGCTTCTTCTCCTTCTGAGTACTAATAGTAATTTAAACATCGATATCCTGTTCAACCCATCAATGTTATAATTGGGAGTTACAGTTTTTTTCTGTTTCTTTTTCTTATCGTTCACTGGCTGTAAACTCTGGCGGAAAGTTCTTGTTATTCATCTATTTTAGGACTGTGGTCTTGTTCCAAAACCTGAGTTTTTGCATGCACATCCATTTTAAAGATCTGGCTTATTAGTATGCAGACTGCTGGTTCCTTGCCTCTCAGGCAGATGTACTCTGACTTCAAAGTAAACTCCTCTTATTTGTCATCATGTACCACATGCTTGTTTGGGAGGGAGTGGATTTGTTCTTTTTTCCCCCATAATGAGGCTCAAAAACCCTCACAGAGATTTTCTGTTTCAATATTGGAAATGTGTAGTTCTTGTCAACTATGTTTGATTGATGATGAACTTTTGCATAGATTGTGTATCAGTTGTAAGATATTGCAGGAGTGTAGATTATCAACTTATTCTTCTGCTGCTTCTTGTTTTTCTTCCCCACTTCCTCCTCATTTCATTCTTCTTCTCTTTCTTCTTCCATTATTTGCCTATGTCTAACCTTGCATCTTCGACTTTGACTTCCTCCTCTTCCTTTACTGTTTCTGTCCCTAAAGTTATTACTTTTGCCAACCCTGTCTATGTTTCAGTGCATCTGTTCCCCCCCCCCTTGTTAATCTATAAGTCCTAGACATTTACTGATTTAAATCTTTTAACATACATCTTTGTTGATACCAGGACCTTATGAAGGACCTGAAGTCAGAAACAACTGGGGACTTTCAGGAGGTTATTCAGTCCTTGCTAATGACTCCTACGGAATATGATGCCTACTCTATCAACAAGGCCATGAAAGGATCCAAATCAGATTCTGTCACTTTTGTCGACATTATCTGTTCCAAGTCAGGGCCTGAGTTGGATGAAATCAAAAAAGCATATAAGAAAGGTAAACAGAGATGTGTTTGCACTATCTTTAAATGGGTTCTTAATTGAAAATTACTATTTGTTAAACCATTTTACATTTATTGTTGCATGAAGGACTACCTGCTGCCTGTCCTTTGCAGCACATTTCCTCTATCATGGCAAGGGGGAAAGCTCTCTGTTTTTCATTTGGTGCACTTTTTCATTTCTGCACTGTTGTCATTATCCTGTCTTTTTGTTTTGGCTTGCCTCTAAATTTTAAGTCATTTTTCCTAGCATTTACTGGCTGTAGGCTCTGGCAAAAAGTCGTCCTGGTTGTCCCCTTTCGGACTTTGGTCTTGTTTCAGGATTTGAGTGCTGCTTGCCCATTGGCTTTACAGATGTGGTTTACTGTGTGCCTGTCAAGTTGCTGCACTGTAGCATCTCCAAAAACGTTAGTCCTGTTTCCTGGCATTGAATCTGTTTCTGGGATGACCACCCTCCATCTTAAAAAGTCATAAATACAAGCAGTAAAGATAGACAATCCAAGTAGTCAGCGTTCTTTGGATTTTCTCCAGGTTATGCCGTTTTGTTGGAAAAAAACAAAAGATTCAGAGAGATTGGCTGGTTCTGTATCACTTGGTGATGAACTAATGCATAACAAACTAGATGTTGTAAGGGCCCTTTGGAAGTGAGGGAACAGTGCAAAGCTGCAAATAGATCATTATGGTCTCAGGAGAATGGTGCTGTGAGGAGTGGCCAGGGAATCTGGCCGATGCCTAACACTCAAGGGAAAGGCCAGATTGATATATATACTGAGACGATTCCTGGGGCCATTGGAATTGGAAATCTGAATTGGCTGCTGAAGATGGGGACAAATCATTTACACAAATATCCTGAGTGTTATGATGTTGATTCTTATTTCAACATTGAAGACAGACATTTAACATATTTAGTCAGTCAGTTTCATGTCAGTTGAACTAACCTTTGTTTACTGGCTTGTAATGAGTTCTGTCTTTAGACATGTTTTTCTGATATTAATATTCAAACCCCCCCCCCCCCCCCCCCCCAAAAAAAACCTCTAAACTTTTTCAGGTTTCATACAGCTGTTACTACAAAACTTGCTATCACATACTATGTGTACTTTGGAGAAATTATGTTTGGGCTTAACAGGATAATACAAGCTATGTAAAATAATACTTGAGGTTGAATTGGTTAATGTAACTGAAGAATTTGTGAGAAGTTGCAAAATGTTTACCCTGGAAGGAGCATATGAGGAATGGTTTGGTACCGCAAGAGTTAATGTAGTATGAATCTATGAACATTAAACCTTTGCAACTTATGCAGGATATGTTGCATAATGGGAGTCGCGTGGTGGAGTGGCTAGGCGCCCGCCGCTGATCGCAAGGTCTCGGGTTTACTCCCTGGCGGAGCCAGACTTTTTCCAAAAATTACTTTGGCTCCCAGGTCGACCCAGCCTTGAGTGGGTACCGGGTGCAGTCCTGGGAAGTAAAGGCGGCCGGCGTGATGCTGACCACATCACCCCTCTTGTGCCGATCGGTCTATACAATAAAGGTCTAGCCCTATATGCCCTATACGTCTAAAGGTGTGGAAAAGGGTCTTTCACTTTACTTTACTTATGTTGCATAACTGTGAACAATTCACTTACTTTTTTTTCATTTCACATAATGTTAAAACAAGTGTGTTTGACTTTTGCAAACAAAGCCAACCTAATACAGTAAAATGTCGTTACAGAAAACAAGAAAGAACTCAGGGATGCGGTTAAGAAGGAGACTAGTGGAGACTTACGAGATGTTTTGCTGAAACTTCTGGATGAAAACACAGAAGGAAAGTCAAAAGTGGACAAGGACAAAGCTGAAGATGATGCCAAAGCTTTTAATAAGGTTAGAAAAAATGAATTTGTTAATAACAAATTGTATCACTGAGTAAGGTTAGTTAGTTGCGAATCCTTTACAGGACGTTGCAGAACCAACCCCAAAAGCCCCTGGCTGTTGTGTGCGTTTTTCTAGGCAAATTTACGTCAAGTAGTTTGCCATTTCTTTGTGGACGGTCGGCTTTCTAGACGGTTGGCTTTCTTGATACCACTGTAGAAACCAATGCAAGGCGCATAGCTGGCAGCTAGGGTCGAACCCGGCATCCCGGCATTACGAAGCGTTCGCTTCGACTTAGCCACAGAGCTGACTCACTGAGTAAGAATGGAGATAAAAGAACAAATGAGGAAGTTAATAAGACAGCATGTTGTCTTCTTCTTCGCTTTCACCGGCTGTATACTCCGGTGAAAAGTTCAGGTTGTTTTTGTCCACATCTCGAACTCTAGTCCTTTTCCAGAAACTGAGTGTTGCCTGCACATGCATTTCGCAGATCTGACTCATTTGGATGCAGACTGTTGGTTCTTTGCCTCTCAGGCAGATGTACTCTGACTTCGAA